AAAAAAAAAAAAATCACTCTCTTTCCAACCAGGATGTTTTAAGGAGCAAATGGGAAAAGGGAAAATCAAGCGCCCATGAGCGCAGAGCACATAGTAGGGGCTGCACGACTGCAAACCTCTGGCTGCTCCTGTTACGAACGCGTAACCTTGGCCGATTTCCCTCGCTGACCTTGATCCCGTTTTTATGTCTTCCTCTCCTTTCTTTGCAAACCAGGGTAGGTAATTGATCCAGCTCCCTCCCAAATCCTTCCTCGCTTGGAATATTCTCCTGGGGTCTTCCCAGAGTGCTGCCACCCCCGGAATGATCCCCGTGGCCCCTACGTGAGGCAGTGAGATCTTTCTTTATGAAAAAGACAGCCCCGCACGAAACCAGTGGAAGCGTTTTAGATGCTCAGTTCACCCCGAACAATATTCTTCTATTGAGGCTGCATCGTAAATATCTTACTGGCTGATCCTCAGCTAGGAAATTGTCTCCAGAGCCGAGAGATTGCTTTCCGCCCCCGTATTTATGGGGAAGACTTTTAAAAATCCCACTCTTTGGGTCTGCAAAGCCCATTATTGACATGGCAGTTGGGCAGGTTTGCCCGGAGTCACCCTATCGTTCAATGCCTCAGTGTCCCCATCTGGAATTAGGGCATGACTGCTGTTACTAATTATGTGATACTGAATACTTCCTAAGACTCTAACCACCATCAGTCAAAATGCTGCGACTAACAACCCAACTGCTGATGTTCCAGGCACCACGCTGGGCGTTTTGCCTCGTTCCTGTCTCCCATAACCAACCCCATGAGATGTGGGTCATCATGCTTGTTCCCATTACTCAGCCGAGGAAACTGAGGTACAGACGGGTTCCATAACCCTAATCGAGGTTATAAGGTAGTAGGAGGCGGAGCCAGGATTGTTTTTCTTTTCAGTTTATTTCTTTACTTCTCTGAGAGAGATAGGGAGCGAGCAGGGGAGGGGCAGAGAGAGAGGGCGAGAGAATTCCCAAGCAGGCTCCACGCTGTCAAGCGCAGGGCCCGACGCGGGGCTCGGACTCACAAACGGTGAGATCGTGACCTGGGCTGAAACCCAGGGTCCGACGCTGAACCGACTGAGCCGCCCGGGCGCCCCTGAGCCAGGATCCGGACTCAAGAAGAATGTGAAACTTTGGATATGCACGGGGCGCCCGGGCGGCTCAGTCGGTGAAGCGGCCGACTTCGGCTCAGGTCACGATCTCACGGTCCGTGAGTTCGAGCCCCTCGTCGGGCTCTGTGCTGACGGCTCAGAGCCTGGAGCCTGCTTCACATTCTGTGTCTCCCTCTCTCTGACCCTCCCCCGTTCATGCTCTGTCTCTCTCTGTCTCAAAAATAAAAATAATTAAAAAAAAAAAGAAACTTTCATCACCCCCACAACCCACCCCTCAGAGCTGTTCCCAAATTGATAGAGAATCCAGTGAGAAACAACCCATCGAGCAAGATAGGCGCACGTGGGAGGGCCTGGGGTTTGTCTTTTCCTCCTATTATTTTTTTTGTAAGATCAGATTACCCTGGTGACTAGCAGCCCCCGCAACCCAAACAGGCGGTGACCGGGATTCAACGCGCGTTATCGTCGGCTCCACCCAACGGCTCATAATGCAGCGTCTGTGCCTTTCTGTGACCTTCCGATCCCTTGGAGCTCTGTGCCAGCTCATTCCCCTGTGAAAACAGAGGAGCCAAACCGGGTTTCAAGCAGCCGTCTTCATTATCTAGAGGCAAAGAAGAGCTTTTGGTAGCCCTCTTGGGACCTGGCCTGGGTTGGCCGTCCCTCTGTGAAAGACCCCGGGGTGAGCAACGGGGGAGTTAATTCTCCCCCCTGCCCCCTGCCCAGTGCATGGTGGGCTCCATCTTGGATCCAGTGTTGACGTGTCCCCAAGGCCCTCTGGAAAGCTCCAGGCTGGCCCCCGGAAGAACCAGCTGACAAAACCTCGGACATCCGGCTGGAAAGAGCTCCCCAGAGCCCCTGCTGGGTAGATCCAATCTCTTGGGCTCTTGGGCTGGTCAGTAAAGTCTTGGGCCCGGGAGCTGATGCCTTCATCGGTCTCTCCTGCAAGGAAGACATGGCAAATGGGTGGTCTTACAGCCAGAAGTCTCGAGACCACTAGACCTTGCCAGGGGTGCCTCTTCCCAACCATCGAATCTCAACCCAGTTGCGCCCTCCTCCGAGAAGCCTTCCCTGACCGCCGTGACCTAGAGTAGGCTCGGCCGCATCATCCAACTGAGTTCCTTCTCGCTAGCAGAAATTACCTTCTGCGTCAAGCTGTTGGATGGCCCCCTCGCGAGAATATAAGCCACAAGCGGGCAGGGTCTTTTTCTGCCTCATTTTGGTCTGCGTTTCCAGAATCTAGACCAACGCTTGGCTTGTAAACAAAATTTGTTGGATGAAGGAGCGAATTCCACAGAGGAATAACTGACCGAATGACAGATGGAGGATGAACCCCTGTTTCTGTTCCACGTTCGAGAATGTTCCACGTTCGAGGAGAGGGAGGCCTGGTGAAGACAAAGCCGAATAGACACGCCAGCAGTCCTGTGGGCTTCCAGAACTCTGCCTGCTTCCTGCCACCCACCCCTGGCCCCTTCCTCTTTGGCTGCTGGCCAGGCCCTTAGCCCCTGGCGAGAAGGTGCCCTGTGTCATTTGGCTTTTTATCCCCAAGGTCTCATAGGTCCGGGCTCCTCACGGGGAGAGAGCAGGCTGGGGCAACAGACCCTCTGGCTTTAAATTTGTTTTAGGTTTATTTATTTTGAGAGAGACAGAGACAGTGCGAGTGGCGGAGGGGCAGAGAGGGGTAGGGAGAGAGAATCCCAAGCAGGTTCCCCACTGTCAGCGCAGAGCCTGACGCGGGGCTCGAACTCACGAACCGTGAGGTCGTGACCTGAGCCGAAACCAAGTGTCAGACGCTCAACCATCAGAGTCACCCAGGTGCCCCGACTCTCTGGGTTTAAATCCCGCATCCTTGGGGCGCCTGGGTGGCTCGGTCGGTGAAGCATCCGACTTGTGTTCAGGTCGTGACCTCAGTTTGTGAGTTTGAGCCCCACATCGGGCTCTGTGCTGACAGCTCAGAGCCTGGAACCTGTTTCAGATTCTGTGTCTCCCTCTCTCTCTGCCCGTCCCCCGCTCATGCTCTGTCTCACTCTGTCCCTCCAAAGTAAATAAATGTGTAAAAAAAAAACTTTTTTAATTTTTAATATAAATTTAAAAAAACCTCGTCCTCATATGTGATTTCAGACAATTCACTTGTGTCCTCTGAACCTCAGCTTCCTCATCAGTAAACATGAATTATAACAGAACTTTCTTCATAGAACAGTGCGAGGATTAAACGAGACAGCTGTGCATAGTCTAGGCAGAGCCTGACAATTATAATACGAATTATTATTACCGCCAAACGTTTTAACATCTTAAATGTATTATCACTAAGTGTCTTAATATGTATAAAGATTATGCAAGTGTTTTAAATATATTATTTTGAAACGTTTGAACGTTCTAGATGTATTATTCTTACAGTTAAGTATTTTAATGCTTTCAAGATATTGTCATGGATGGCTTTCGTGTTTAAAATGTATGGCTGGGAACTTTCAATTTGAAACATACTGTTCTCAAAGATTTGCTGAATAAATACATCGTTCAGGGGCGCCTGGGTGGCGCAGTTGGTTAGGCGTCCGACTTCAGCCAGGTCACGATCTCGCGGTCTGTGGGTTCGAGCCCCGCGTCGGGCTCTGGGCTGATGGCTCAGAGCCTGGAGCCTGCTTCCGATTCTGTGTCTCCCTCTCTCTCTGCCCCTCCCCCGTTCATGCTCTGTCTCTCTCTGTCCCAAAAGTAAATAAACGTTGAAAAAAAAATTTTTTTTTTAAAAAATAAATACATCGTTCAAAATGGACGCTTTTCTCTCTCTCTGTCTCGTTCTCACCGCTCCCCATCTACCCCTGAAGACGGAGCACTTGAACTCTGGAACTTGGACTCCAGTGGCTCTATTTCTGTTTCTATTCTCAAACACGCGCCTTTCCTTGTAGACGGGTCTGCAGTGAGCATCCATACGACAGGGCAGCACCGAGAAGCCCTTTGAAGTCAGACAGACCGGGGTTCGAATCCTGACCCCCCCCCCCACCTGCCTCTCTAAGCCTCTGTTTGCAAAATGAGACCCGGCCAACCCAGCCCCCTCACAGGTCCATGAGGAGAGCTAAACGTGAGAGCGTATAGGAGGTTTATCAAGGAGGCATCTATTTCTTTGCCTGTTTTAAAAAGGAAAAATTCTTTATTTGGTAACTCTGTTTTTAATTCCAGTGTAACGGGCATACGGTGTGACATCAGTTTCAGGAAGGCAGCACATATTTCTTGAGCACCTACTATGTGCCAGGGACCAGGGACAGCTCAGTGAGCCGAGGAACAGAGTCTTGCCCTCGTGGGGCCTCTGCGCGGCCAGCTGTACCTTTTCCTGCCTGAGAACTTGACTCCATTCCCCCTGCAAGCCCTCTGCCTTCTCCCACGTGCTTCGACTCCCAGCGGCAGACATTTACAGAGCGTGCATGCGAAGCCGAGGGTGCCGGGCACATCCCCCGAGAAAGGCACAACCTGGGATGCTGAGTGGTTGAGAGTGGAGTCTGTGTTCCAGTGGATGCTGTGCTGGTATGTCCAGACTCCCCCTTAGGACAGAAGGCTACGTTCCCTCGCCTGCCGGGACGCGGCCGGCTGATGGCCCGTAGCTGCCAGCCTTGTCGGGACGGCCCCTGTCGCAACCCCCCTGGAATTCTCTCCTGGACCGTTCCAGAAGATGATTTTTGGATCACTCACTTCAGGGTTACCTCAGCCCTGCCCCACCCCCCCCCCAGGTGTCCTTATCACACTATATTTTCCTCTCTTGGTTTAGTTAAATGTCTCCCCCGCTGACCTATGAAGATCTACACGATGGAGCTTTCCGGAAGAATGTCCTTCAGACAGCAGAAACTGCCTATGAATGTATTCAGCCTCGTTCTCCGACTGGCTGAAAGAAGCTTGGCCAAGGCTTGCGAAATCGGCTACAGGAAGCATGACAGAGGTCGGAGGGGATTCCAGAACTCTCCTTGACAGGACTGGGCAGGGTTACCCGGTGGGTAATCAATGGTAACAATGGCTGATGTTTGTAAACACTTTCTCGCGCATGCTTTCTATCCGTCCTCAATATCATTACTGTCAGTAGTCATTGTTGGGCGTCTCGCTTGTGAGTTCATGCTGTGCACCAGCCCCCGAGGCTGGCAGTTGACCTACAGGATCACAGGGATCGCCTATGACATTGGGAGGCAGCCGTCGCTTATTTTCTTTCATAGGTGAGCGCCCTGAGTCCCTCTCCAAGAGAGTGACTGGCTTAAGGTTGCACGGCCAGCAGGGGTGGGGCCGGGACTCCAACCCACTGGGGTTTAGAGTCCACTTGGCTCGAAAACCCTCGATCGGAAGCATCAGAGTAGAATTACGCTTGCATTCTGACAAGCCCGGCCAAGAAAGGAGACCAACTTATGCCCACTTCACAGCGTGGAAGCCGGAGGTGCAGACGGTACATAGAATAGTCACAGGAAATCACTAGGATGTCCACACGGAGGGCACAAAGACCCGCTAAGCTCCCGAAAGAGGGGGTTCCTGCTAACGCAGGAAAAGGGAGCGAGGTTCCGAAAGCAGCGGGCCCGAGGGACGCTCGCTCTCCCCGCGATGTCTGGCTGTGTCCGGGCGACGCGCTTGGCACTGAGCAGGCGCCAGATGGCCGGGAGCCGAAGCGGACTCCACGGACGCCCGCAAGGAGGGCTGCTGACACGTGTGATGTTTCACGCGGGACCCCTCGTCCGCGCGATGGACGTGAGGCAGCGAGGCTGAGCCCGGGGTCCCAGCGAAACCGGCACCCCTAGGAGACGCACCCCGCGTCCCACAGCCCCCTCCGCGCCCGG